AAAAAAAAAAAAAAAAAAAAAAAAAAAAAAAAAAAAAAAAAAAAAAAAAAAAACTCTCAAACCGATACTTTCAATACCGAGAACAATTGTGTGTATGTGTGCGCGTTTTATATTCTATTTATTTTGCTATCCTGTTGCTGTTTTTATTGTCTTCTGGCATATTTATCATCAGCTCATCGCCGTCAAGCACTTCTTTGTGGCACTTACAGCGCCATTAAGCTTTTGCGTCATTATCACATTAAAAGTTGCCGACTATGCGGGAAATTGAAGTGAAGTTGTCTGCTGCCGTTGCACACGACCTTAACCTCGGTTTAACTCCGCTTGACTCTGGACCGAGACACCGCCAGTGCTGGGGAAAGTACTCCATAGCTCAACTTGGAAAGTACTTCAAATTTTCATTTGCTCTACTCTACGCTCTCATTGCAGCGTTTGAACTTAGTGGCGTTCAGTTCGAATTGGACTACTTGTTGTTGTTGTTGCTATTTTATTATTGTGCGTACATGTGTATTTGTTGTTATTGCTCTTTTGGCATTTGCGCAATTTGAAATTCAATTTCTGCCGAATTTCAAAGTTTCGAAAATTATGCAATAATAATTTCAATTAAATTGTCAAAGTACTCAAGTGCGCTCTACACAAGTATTACGTAAGTTCAAAGGCGTGTATGCGTGCCTATGGTACTCCGTCAGGGAAGTTAAAATCGCATCGCAATCACTACCGTTAACAGTTTACTCGAAGTTTGACTGCCGTAAATGCTCAGGGCCAACGAGTTGCGAGTCGTAAAGCAATTTGAACTTTTCATTCACTTCCCAGTGAACTTAGGCTAACAAACATGCACACTGGTATACACACTATTCACCTGAGTTAGACAACATTGCTCATTTAACTTATGTGACTCCTGCTGACTAGCAATACAGAGAAACTAGAGGACTTTCATTGGCATATTCTCTGCTATCGTTGACTTCTATTGCAGGCTTTTGAAAAGCTAATTTATGTTGCAAGAAATTTTCAATGCAAAACATGCTTTGATGAAGATAACTGTTATTGCTTTTTTGCTGGCTTAATAATCAAAGCCATTAACAAAACGCCCGACTGGCGCATGAAATTTCGAAACAGTTTGTATACTAGCTTTTATTTCGTACAGCCTTAAATAGCAGAATCGAAGTCGTAAAATTGCAATGACTTGTTGCTAAATATTTATTTTTGCATCGTACATCGTACTATTTAAATTTCTTAATAAACGACCGCATTAACCCTTGAAATTCCAGCGACCTTCGAGTCCACCTTGGAAATCGTTTTGATTCCAATCATAATTACGTCTGCCCTGCGCATAGGCGTCGATGCTGTAACTGTCGTCGTCGCTTTTCAACAAATTGTGATTGTATTTCAAGCTGCCCTCTCGTCCTCGCTCCGTTTCCTCGTATTTTAGTTCAACTCTGCCCCTGCCTTTGTCTTCGTTTGCAGATTCCTCGGAAGAAGACGGTGAACGCGCATGACGCACTAGCAGCTCCGTAGGCTCGTCCGCCAGCCAGTTTTGGTTAGCGACAAGATAAACCGCGGCTTCGTCATTATATGGCGCTGCCCCTTCCAATAGTGGATGAGCTATGGCGATTGCGAAGAGTCCGCAAAAGACGATCATAACAACAGATTTGGAACTAGTCATATTGATGATTTATTTTTTCAGGAAAATCGTGTTGGAATGAACACTTTACAAGAACCTTAAGTTTTAACTGTGCTCATTTCATAAAGCTCAGCTTATTTATATACAATTCGAATAAGCAAAATCACCGAGTGTGGTTTACAAACCTTAATCTGACGATAAGCGACCGTTGGAAGGGGAATTTTCTAAGAAAAATTTGCCAGTAGTAAAAGATTTGTGAAAACCTTATAGAGAGAACAGGCGTCAACTATAAGGAGATGCTAATAATTCTATTGGGTCTAAGGAGAAAGTGCAAAAGTCAGAGCAGATATCTTTCATATTTGGCGCCATAATTCTAAATGAAAAATTGCGATTCGATATTTCCCATTTCTCCACTATTCACTCTATTTTTTAGATATCGATGTGAAGTCGCGTTTCTCCTCAAGAAGCTGATCTTTTATCGGAAACGTCGTTATCGGACGAAATTCAGCAAGAGCTATTTCTCAAAGCAACCTAAACATATCTGAAGAAATTTTACAGATCGTACCACTATATCAAATAGCTGTCATACAAACCGAATGATCAACATCAAGTTTTTGTATGGAAACTACTTTATTTATGTGGGGTGTTCCAGCTTCGGTAGAACAACAGTGTGCTACGAAAGGGACAGATAATGGATATTTGATAAATCGGCCAAGTATTTTTTAGCAATAATGACATTCTGGGAGGAATACAAAACTTAAATAGTGAACTATTTCTCACATTATACAAGGTGCGTTCCAAAGTAAACAACAATTTTTGAATTTAGCGCCCCCTGGAAATCATCATTGAAATTCCAAGAAATGGAATTGAACATCTCCAAAAAAACACCGATTTATCGTATTTTAACCGAACATTTGGGCCGTAAGCCGACGTGCACGGTTTGTTCCGCACAATTGATAGACGACCAAAAATTTCTCCGAATCAAACATTCGAAGCTCATCATTAAAGAGCTTTATTTGACCGACAATCACATTTTAACCATTAACCACTCCCCGTATTCACTTGATATGGCACCGTGCGACTTCTTTCTTTTTGGAAAAATCAATTTGCTCATAAAACGAAAGCGTTGTGCAGACGTAGAGGCAATTCAAAAGGCTTTCACCGGCATAATGGCGGTCATACCGATCAACGAGCTAAAACACTCGTTTAACATGCTTTTGGACAGTGCAAAAAGCTGTATTGAAACAGAAGGAGACTATAGTGAATAAAATAAATTGATTTGCCGAAAAACAAATTTGTTCTGTTATTTTTTAAAGTCCTGTTTACTTTGGAACGCACCTTGTATAGTGCACTTGTCGATTTTTCAAAAATGTACTTACTTAAGTGGTTACATGGGTTTATATGTTTCAATAATTCGAATTCTTAATAAATCTATCTAAATAAATGCTACAACACCTCTAGAATATTGTACCAAATTTTCAAGTTGATCGGAGTAATAGTTTCGGAGATATAGCCTTGAGAGCTTGTGCCCTCGAACGCATTTTTCTCGAAACTGTGTTTTGAAGTAGGTTGGAAATATTTCTCGAGAACTACTCAACCGATTTTCATAACATTTTACGCAGGTCTATGAGATATAATTCCTAAAGACTTGGAAGCAGTATTTTTTTCGATTACTACTATTTGAAAAGAAGTCATGAAATTTTTAATGAAAGTTTAATTTTTTTGTTAAAATATCTGCCAACAATCCAATTTTTAGTTTTATTCTTCCTTCGTCTAAGTCCTAGGTTATGGTTTTAACTAAAACACGTATTTTTTTTTTACTTAAAATGATCCTGTAAGGAGTCATCCTACACATGCGGGCGGTCCTCTTTTCCAAGGGGTCAAAGGAAATAGCGTCGCCATATTTTTTCCAAAAATTTCAGAATATATGTATGTTTGTGACAGACACAAATAGTTCGAAAGTCTGTTTTTTACCCGAGGAAAGCCATGTCACCTCTTAAAAATTACTAACAACAGATATTTTGCCATAATGTAAAAATACAAATAAGTCTTCATGACAAATATAAATATATATATACTAGTATATGTGAATTACCGTACAAAAAAAAAAACATATATGGAATCGCTTTGGTACTGCTTATTAAAAAATCAAAAAATATAACTTAGTACCTGCTCTTATGCATACGAAAAGCGGTGTCAGAATCAGCGACAACGGGCTTATCAGCAGCGGGCTATGCTATGTCGGTAAATCCCAATTGGTGATTTTAATATCAAAACAAAAGTGAACAAGACTAAATCACAGCCGCAAAGAGCTATAAATACAACGAACAACGTCGAAACAGCACAGTTCTCTTTCATAACTCAAAAGCATTCAAATAAAGAATATACGAAAAGTTCAGTAACATAAAATCGGAAAAAATGACTAGCTGCACTTCAACTATTATTTTCGCCTTATGTGGACTCTTCGCAGTCGCCATAGCTCATCCACTATTGGAAGGGTCAGCGCCATACAATGACGAAGCCGCAGCTTATCTTGTCGCTGACCAAAACTGGCTGGTGGACGAGGCTTCGGAGCTGCTAGTGCGTCATGCGCGTTCACCGTCTTCTTCCGAGGAATCTGCAAAGGAAGATAAAGGCAGGGGCAGAGTTGAATTAAAATACGAGGAAACGGAGCGAGGACGAGAGGGCAGCTTGAAATACAATCACAATTTGTTGAAAAGCGACGACGACAGTTACAGCATCGACGCCTATGCGCAGGGCAGACGTAATTATGATTGGAATCAAAACGATTT